TTTCCCATAATAGCGACCACATTCTCAGATTCACCATAACTTCCTACCTTTTTTCCCGGAATTTTGCCCATTCCGCTGTAGAGCGGGAGGGGGAGGTTCATAGCACACAAAACAGGAAAAACCTCGCAAAGTCAGCAACCTCTCTCACGAGGTCAGAATGGAAATACGGCCACCTTCCCCTCAGCGACCAAATACGACCCCCTTCCCTCCCCAACAACGATGTCCCCTGTTCTCAGCAATAGGTTCGACACCAGGCTTTCCTGGCCGCACATGGCACTCGATTTGTTGCCATGTTCTTTTCGTTCTGCACCATCACAATGAATGGGCTCGCAGAGTCACCAGAGCTCACTCTGCGACGTGTTAGACGCTTGTCTATGACCGAGCGCGGGACACTGTTTCATTGTGTAGATGACTGCAGTGTACACACACACAGATACGATAAGTTACGCAGTGACGGCGAGAAGTTGATCTGCGGAGCAAATACGATGAAAGAAGATCGCTCTTCGGAGCCGCAATGCGCATCCAAGGCAAATAAACAATCAGTGCCATTCACAGAGCTCTACCATAGTTTACAAAGTTACTATTCCTTCCCTTCGGATGAGGCATGCCTTCTGTAAAAACTGGATGCTTGGAAGAAAGCTGAATTATATGAGAAGGCTATTTAACTCTGCAAGTTAGAAACGGAGCGGCCTATGAAGACTGGTTATTGAAATTCCTGCGTGAACCTACGAAAGGTTCTGGTTGGAATCAAAACAATAAGAAGGAAGACATAGAACATAAATGGTTGAATGTACGACTTTCACTGACCTAAGATGCTGTATGGCTTTTGTGGAATCTCTTATGCAATCACGGAGATTAGGCGTAAGATTCTGTATTCATCTCTGAATAGTTTGACATGCAACTGATTAGGCGTAAGGTTCTGTATTCATCTCTGAATAGCTTGACATGCAACTGAGAAACAGCAACGAATTAAGCTATTCGCCTTTGTAAAAGCTTTCCGAAAGGCTAGAAAGTGCTTTTTCGATTCCTTCTCCATGAATGGCACCTGAGAACGCCATCGTATATACAAATAAAATTGGATTTGGCCCCGAACGAGAAGGGCAGGGCGGGAGGGGGGGGGGAAGGGAGTCGTAAGAGCAGTGCTCATTCCAGTGTGGGGAGAGCAGCGACTCTCAGATGCCGTAAAGTCGTTGAATGATAGAATATCTATTTATAGCCCCTACTGGGAAGAGCATCACTCGTAGGAAGCCAGCCATACAATAGCACAAAATGCTCTCTAGGAAGGAGAAACTTGTTCTTCAGGTTATTTACAACTTCTTTCCAAAACAACCGATTTTTAATCGCTGAGCAGACGAACAAATGTTCCTCACCTTTCAGAAATTTTTTTGATATCTTTTGTCCAGAAGTAAAAAAAGCGGTGACTCGATAAGGAGTAACCGCCACACTCATCATAAACTTCAAATTTTCTTCCACGCAGGTGACTTTTGGAACATAGAGCGATCGATAGACAGAAGGCAAATACTTTGGGAAATATTACTACTCAGCAACCGAGCGATTACTGAGTTCTGGGATTTTCCGACAAGTGTTCGAATGTGTTCAGAATGATATCACCCGTCCTGATTTGTGTAGGCACACCTTTGACCGTCTCAATGATTTTCTCAAGCGGCACCGAAAACTCGCCGAGTTTGGTTAAGTGAACAGGGTTGCGACAATCTCGCCTACGTTTAGCAGCACATCGTGGGTAGGTCCTATCATAGCACCAAGACGAAAATGTTTGTCATCAAGGAGTTCAGGTAGGCAGGTGGCTGAGCTCTGTGGAGGACCCAAACAGCACGTTGTACTGTTTCCACAGAATACCCATCTTTCGCCTGTTACCAGATCCGCATAAAAGCCCTTTCCATTTTATACTCCTATATTTATTTTTTATTTATTATTATTTATTATATTATATATAACACCTATGGGACTGGCGACGACCGACACCCGTCTAAGGCTGCGTTCATACTTTACGGCAGCGTCCACCAGCGACCAATAACATCCACCAGCGTTCGAGTGTCCGGCAGCGTTAGCGACTAGGAAGTAGGCGTATCGATTAGCATGTGCCAGCGTCTACCAGCGTCTGCCAGCGTCTACCAGCGACCAACAGCGTCTTGAAGGCTAGGGAGTATAGGTATCGATTTAGCGTCTGCCAGCGCCTATCAGCGACCAACAGCGACCAAGTCTGGAGTATGGGGAGATAGGAAGGTGGCAGGCCAGATGGTAGATTATGGGAAGATAGGAGAGTAGCAGACCTGGAGGAAAGTATGAAGGGTGTTGGGCGGTTGCAAACAGCCTCAGAAAATGGGAAGATAGGAGGGCAGCAGATTGCTGGTAGAGAGCATGGCGCGATAGGCGCGATAGGAGAGTAGCAGGCAGCTGTTGGAATACGGCGAGACATGAGGGTAGCACTCAGTTGGTAGGGGGTATGGCGCGATGGGAGGGTAGCAGACAGCTGGTACTCTCATATAGCCCCATACTCTTTAACAGCACTGGTCATGGTAGACGCTGGCAGGCGCTTGATCGGTATCTATAGTTTCCCAGTCGCTGACGCTGTCGGACGCTCGGAATGCTGGTGGACGCTGCAATAAAGCGTGAAAACAGCCTTAGACGGGTAGGTCGTAGCCAACCGCTAGGGTGTTAGAGAAATATAAGATGATAGGATAGTACCGACTGTGCCGTAGTGTTTTAGAAAGCATATAAAAGGAGCACATCCCAGACTTCGTATAACTGAATCCTTCTGCTACCTGACGCTTATCCTAAGAAAGTAGTAGCGTAGATATTATACCCGTCCGCCCGATCGATACCCTTTTTCATCTATAGCGTTGGAGCGCCATCGTAACGGTAGCACGTCCTCGCGCGTAATCGCGGGGTCTTCGCAGTCTAAATAAGAGAGGTGTCAGAAGTTATGACAATGCTACCCTTCGCAAAAATTAAAATAACCTAACGAATATGTGCGTGCCAAGGTATTTTTATTTATTTATTTATTTATTTATTTATTTATGCGCGTGATTACAACGCGCTCAAACAAAACAAAGTAGCAAAGCGGAGTGAGCAATTTCAGAACCAAACAATAAACAAAAATCAATAAACAAAAATAAAATCCAAAACAAGATCCGTATAAAAAAATTCATGTGCAGTAAAATTACAGGCAGTTGCACTGAGAGGTCGTAAAGAATCAACCGAAGCAGCTCTTAGTTGCTCAAAAGGATGGAGTTGCATAATTAACTAGGCGGAAGGAGAGGAGTCAGAGAGAAATTATTAGGCGAATTAGAAGGAAAGGAGAGTACCAGCCTGTGGTCGGTAGTTTTAGAAGGCATAAGAGAAAAGTACCAGTCCCTTTGCGGTGGGTCTACAGGAAGCATAGGAGAAGATTGTATATTCTCTAAGTTATATGCCAACGCAACTTCCTGCCGACTCAGTAGAACTCCAAAAACTGCCTTTGTAAGAACTGCACTGGTTACCGAGTGATTAAGAAATCCGTTCGAATCGCATGCTAGAATCGGCGCCTAAATGGTCTTTCATAAGACGCATGGTACCCTCAACACATGAGGCCGTGTATGAGAACTATGCAGACCCCTCAGCCTGTCGATGTGTCGTGTCCGACCGCGCCCAAAACCCTGCAGCGGGGTCCAGAGTCTACTACGGGGCCGTAGAAAGTCGTAATTCCTTGCTACACCGCCCTCACGTATATGCTAACACCATCCGCGCGGCGCTGTCGCGTGCAGCTCTCTTGGCTTTTTGCCGTGTAATTGGCGCTTCGGAATGAATACAGACGCAATTTCTTTATGTGATTAACATTTTTAGGTGCTGCATAATAAGAACGAAATATGACAAGGGAATAGAACTCAAGAGCAAACTGCTGCTGCTTTCAATATCACTCACGAGGCCACACATTCCCACAGAACATCGACAATAAAGAAAAAACAAGGACAACATGCAATAAAACATGAAATACAAGGCAGAACGCATTCCCTACATTTGAGTATTGCTATGCTCAAGGCGAAATAGAAGGTGATTGAAGAATGCACAAAGGCTAGAAATGACAAGCAACGAATGTGGATGTAAATAAAACAAAATTGAAAAGCTAAGGAAACGTAATAAATTAAAATCGCGTGTGCATTTCTGCGATCCGGCTCGAATCCGGCTCTAAATGCTATAGAAATACTTCAAACTAACGAGTGGGACGCTTAGGCCGTTTTTATTTTGATGTTTTGTGGGAATTGCGCGCCTGCAGGATGTTGCAAGAAGACACAGTTGCTCTTGAGTTCTAGCCCTCGTCATCATCTTCAGTTCTTATTTTGCAGAGCCTAAAATGTTATCCGCATAATAGAAATTGCGTTGTACTTGTATTTCAAAGCGCAATTACAGACTTGGCAAAAAGCAAGAGAGCTGCACGCGACCGCGCCGCGCGCGTCGAGGGTGTGTAGAGTGAAAACGTGAGTTTTCAAAACGGGCGGCATAGCAAGCAATACGACTATTCCCACGGTTCCGCGTATCTGGACGTGCGCGTTTGGGCGGGGGAGCCGACACATCAGACAGCGGGGGGCTGATGTTATCTTACACCCCATGTGTTTGAGCGTTATCACGTGTCTTCAAGAAATCCTTTGATCGCAGCGCCTAGAATCGGCGCCTAAATGGTCTCTCATAGTTAGAATAGCTCAGGACATTCTCATCCCAAGATGATGGCTCTCCGATATTCGCTCCTTCTGTTTTCACATAACACTGGTACGATTTCAGCGGTCGGTGTGGACAACGTATTCATACTACTCTCAGCGTGGAGGTCATCTCCTACTCACCTATCGCTCCAAAAACGTATGGAGGAGACTTTCGCTGACGCTGGCGTCTCCATCACAGTCACATCTCTCACGGACTTTATTTCATTTGCAGTTGGTTGTGCGACACCTTTTCCAAGTGTGCAGGTGAGCTTTTCTTCAGAATTCTAAGTGGTGGAGCTGAACCATGGGCTCTGCTGGGGACATATCTTCTCTGATTCAGATGTTTTGTGCATATGCGGTGACAGCCGTGATGTTCACTTACGTCTATCAGCTCACGTTCTTCGCTGGGATTATGGTTTACACGAGTCGTCGCGAAATGGATAACAGGAACTGCATTACATTCAGAAAGATCAAAAAAGGTTCAGTATTGGTGTAGTTCTATAACAACGGTTGCAAAAATGAAAGATTTAGGTAGCTCGAAAAATGCTTGTGAAGACCGAAGTTTCGAAAAAAATCATTTTCTGTCGCAGTTCTTTCGCACCACTTATTCGGACATGCTTTTAAACCCTTTAATACGCGTGCTTATTATCATTTCTTTCCTCGTCTATCTGGTGAGTTCTGATGTTTCTCCATAATTCTACGTTTTTTTTCATAACAGTAGAATTATTTCAGGGTGTAGCGATTTGGGGTTGCACTGAGGTGAAACTCGGACTTGAACCGAACGACTTATTGCCAGACAACTCGTACGGAAAGCAAACGCTTCGTCTCGCTGAGAAGTATTTCGCTGGTAACAACCTTTGTTGAAGAATTTCGGGGCGCCCATCTTCTGAGAACATTACTCCGCGACATGGGATAGTCAACACTCAACATCCTTACGTGTTCCTCATCTAGGCTCATATCACTGGGAAGGGGAGAATGGCATCCTAACTTCATTTTCACTGTTAATACTAAGTTTTCTGACTCACAGCACATATATTCTGCTCTGAATGTCCTTTTCTCGCTTTGCAAAAGCGTATCTGTGAGGAGAGTGATAGCTTATCTGTGAGGAAAGCGGTGTGTCGTTCCCCCATTCCCTCAGTTTAGGTGAGATAGATATCCCTCTCCAGTCTGGGCAACCTGGGTACCCGTTGCAGCTAAGAGCAGCGCCAACCGCTATGTGTTGAAGGGTACTGTAACAGATATGATTCCCTCATTAAGGTAGGGTAGTAATAACGAGGCCAATAATTGGTGTAGAGAACTTACTAGTTAAGGACAAGGTCATATCTGTCATCTGGAAAATGCTGCCGGTGAACGGAGTGAATCCCAACTTGTGGACGTCGCTCCTATAGATCGAGGCCGAATACATGGCGCACTGTGTGAAAATTAGAAGTGCAATTTTCGCTATTTCGCTATTTTTTTTACCAAGGATTTCTTCGAGAATGTGCCTTCCCAGCTTTTCGAAGTTATTTCGACTATCTTCATATATAGTTGTTTGTGTGTGTGCGTCTGGCTTGCCACCCAAAAACTGAAGACTACATAAAACTGCTTCTGTAGGACGTGATTCCTAACTGGGATTGCTATAGGATGAGCCAATTTCCAGGGAGCTTAAGCAAGGTAACCTAAGCTATGCCCTCAATAGGCGGGGCGTGTACCGAAGCGAACGGGAGTCGCAGCGATTGAATTCTCAAACCGCATCCAAGCAGACCTGAGCAGAGGATGATATGAGCGATGGTCATGCTCGGGTGCCTGATTTATAGTAGGGGAGACACGCGGAGGAGACAGTGAGGTGTGCTTGATGACTGCCTGCTAGGGAGGGTATATACAAGAAGTGAAACGGTAAAGTGCTGTAATTCTCAAAACAATATTTTTGTCGACCATTCGCCCGACGAAGCCGACTGGACCTCCCCCTCATTGGAATACTTCTTCAAAAGGGACCCAACCTATTCACATGCGGAAGGAGGATCGACTGGCCCGAAGCGCGCCACTCGCACTCGCATCAGCAACCAATTGGCACTTTTGATTCCTCCTCCATCTCTCCCGAAATCAGGCCAGTGTTTCACTACAAAGCATGATAAGGCTAAAAGATTCTAGTTCCAGGGAAGCCTGCTTGCACAGCTTCATCGAATTCAGGGTAAGGGTGCCAAATGGTGCCAGCATCAAAAGTGATGTCCTATTGTGATCAGGGCTCCGAATTACCCCTGTAGTCAAAGTTTCCAGGGGAAAGTTCTTTTGGCGTCTGGGGTAGGAATGGTTCTATAGTGCCAAAAAAAAGTGCATCACGATAAGAAATAATATTGCAGACTACGGTAGTAATCTTCCACGTGTGGATGTACAATTTGTCGAATGTCGACACAGGTGCAAGGCGTATTTGGACAGTGCTGGACAAGGAGATTGAGCTCTACGAGCACACAGAGTTCACCGGAGCAGCTGATTCGTGGTGAGCAGATTCTACTTGTTCCAGGTTTTGTTTTATTGGAGCTAGTGCTCACATATGTCGCCATTTTCATTATCTAGCCATGCCTATTGCAGGTTGCGCACTTACCTCGCCTTTACCAAGCATGCGGTTGGACTCATCATCGAGGACAGATTTTTCGTGTACATTCTAAGGAATGTATTCCTGTCCCAGCCACAGTTCGGCAAATATCGGCGGTGAAGACTGTTTTGGAACGGTTTCTTGGTTCACTATTAAACGTCACTAAGCCCTGGACACTTCAGTGATGTAGTTTTCGACTCGAGCGGATCATTGTTGGATGCCTCACGGGTACCAATCCAGCTTCGTCATGTCGGATTTGCAAATCAAAGTCGAGCGATGCATCTGTTCAGAAGACTGGCTGCAACCAGTCAATTACAGACTGGTGTTTACGCGGACTTCTTCCAGGTGCGTTACTAATGAATGTCAGACATCTCTATTCCAAACCCAAGTCATATTCTCTAAGCATTGTGGCGACAAGCTTGTCCTTTTTCGCTGCCAAAATGTTACTGTGTCGCTGGATCGGGCTCTTAAAAGTCATTCGACAAAGCAGGATGCGAATTCAAGATAGTAGAGCGCACTTTTTTGTTCACGGTGTTGAGCACAAAAGAATTGCTACCAGATCAAAGAATTTAAGCATTTTATTCGCCAAAAACGAGGCCCGGGTCTCCGCGACAGGCTTGGAGATTGGTTGCAGAGGAGGGTATGTTCAGGATGATTCTGGGATGGAAATGCGTGAACTTAGAACGCTTCGCTAGCACCACATTCTGTTATATCTAAGTAACAACATGCTCCTGTAATGAAGCTGATCCCACCTCGGGTCCTAAACCCTTTCTCAGGGCGATATTAACAGAGGTGTCCTCGCACCGAACGGGTGGGTGCTCTCGTGAAGCTACAGTGATGAATGCGTTCTGTACGTAGCTGTGTTCTTCTTATAAGAACCGTGTGTAGAAATCAAAAGAATGGCTAGAGTTGAGAGTAATTTACACGCGGCTCCCTTGAAGAGTCTGTTTTCTTGCGACCACTTATGTTCCTAGTAGTCGATCCAAGAAGAAAGCGACCCCAGGGCTCGTAATATAAAATCTCCACGAGTTTCATTGTTCAAGAAGATTTGCGTTTTTGCGTTTTTTGTGCAATGAAATTTTTTGGGAAAGTGGCAGAGAGAAATCGAGGCACAAGGAATCCAAAGTGGATCACGAGACCTCATTAATTTTATATCAACGTCCTATAACGCTGAACAGATTGCCCACTGCCATCTTGGAGCCAGATTTTGGTACCTTTCTCTAGAAAGGAAACCAAAATCTGAAAGGGAAAACTAGCAAGAATCTTTTTCATCCGATATTTTTTCAGTTCGCAGAGCAGTACAACGCCGTTCTTCCTGGCACGCTGTCGTCAATCGCCTACGCTGGTGTTGCTGTAGTCGTCGTATCGCTTCTGCTGATTCCAGAACCGGTGGCAAGCCTTTGGGTTATGCCCTTGCTTTCTTCTGCTGTCTCTGTTTCTTCCTACACAAGTGCATAGGAAGAGCGTCCATTATTTATTAGAGAGCGTCCATTATTTCTTAGGCTGCGTTTATATTTTGCGGCAGTTCGCAGCGTAGCGTAGGCTTCCAGCGCACGCAAGGGCAAGTGCGGGAGAGAGAACTGGAAACGATTAGCGTTCCCAGCGTAATTCTAGCGTTACGCCAGCGTTTCTCCAGCGTTTCACCAGCGTTTTGCTAGCGTTTGCAGCGGCAGGGAGTAGAGACTATGGGAGAGCTGGAGGGTACAAAACACATCGATTGCGCGTCTCTCACTCGCCCTCAGTCTCTACAATACACATCGATTCTGCGTCTCTGATGGCCACATAGTCTCTACTATACACATCGATTGCGCTTCTCTTACTGCACATAAGTCCTCTACTCCCTCTGCCGCTGCAACGCCAGCAAAACGGCTGGCGTACGCTACGCTTTCCTGGTGTTCCAGGCGTCACGCTGGTGGCGCTGGAAACGCTAGATCGATATCCATCCTCTTCCCGGCACTGCCCCTGACATACGCTGGAAGCGCTACGCTACGCTGCCGCAAGGTATAAACGCAGCCTTATTAGGAAAACAAAGATTCCGCGGAAAATTGGGGAATATGTCGCAGAGTTTAACTGATATCGGCGAACAACAAACTTATAATTATTGGCAACAATTATTTTGAGGTCTGGTGCAAGACGGTGTACTTAACACTTACCCAAATAAGAAGTCACGTGTACTCTTAAAATGGATAAGTACATGCTGACCGGCTTATTTCTTCGAAGGCAGCGAATGCGATCAGTTACCGTTCCTTTTTCCTTCGTTAGCAGGTAGACTGGTGGGCAAAGGCAGCGACTACACCATTTTCCGCGGTGGTGCAAGAGCGAGTGGGGAAGCCGACGATGTCATCGTTCCTCCCATCAGCCCTATCCAATTTATTGACCCTGCCCGCAACTATATCCAGGTTGATACCGAGAATTCTGCCCAAAAGACCAAGACAGAAAGTTGTCAAAAGAAATGAGCGTGATCAGTACAACAGGGAGGAGATCGTTTCGAGTCCGAGCGAGGGGGGGGGTCGTAAACGTGGGACCTCTCTGATGTGAAGGTGCAGCGATACCTAGATGTCATTCAGCTTCAGTGATGAAAGTCTTCTCCATGTTATGAACCCCAGGAAAGACCCACACAAGACAAAAGCAACATGCCAGCGCAGAAGTGGGAACGGGCGATGACAGGAAATACGATGGTCGCCCACAACGACGTCATGAATTATAAAAAAAAATAAAGGATAGAGTCTCCGCCGTTGACCCCTTTGTGGGATGCGGCACGCATACTACTTCCATTCAAATCGCAGTGGCTCACTGAATGCGATGTGGCCTATACGATGACCTGCAGTGGAGACCCGTGTAGCTTACAGTCAGTGTTCATACTCGCCCAACGAATGTGGCTACATTCACTGTCCGCCGCAGTAGATATGCTTAGTTGACGGGGGCGGCAGTCAAGCCTGGGCATTTTGAACCCATCGCGCAATAAGCGCTCACTTTTGTCCTCTACACCACCTCACGCCAATAAATTCCGCCATAAATAACTAAATAGCTGAAAAGTACAACTTCCGGACCTGTTACTGTCTCCAGGAGCACTGTCTACTTGCATCTGGCAAGCCCGTCCAGAAGTTGCAACCTCCCCAAATAGTGCTGAGTGGAAAGGCGTATTGCATGCGCATCGAGGTGATGCCAGTTGGCGCCCAGTGAACTATCTCCTGATATCCTTGACAAAAACATGCGTTTCTGAAGCGTACCAATGTCCTCAAGCAGCAGCAAATCCGCAACTAACTGCAAAGCCGCAAAAGTAGGAGTTGCTTGAGCGAGGAACTGTCTTCATCCCTTCTGGAAATCCTGTTCAAAATGGAAAATTCCGGATAACGGAGTCAGTAGGTAACCACAATGCATGGAAGGAAGTTTGCGATCTCTTTACCTTTCCAGGTGTCTTTTTCGATTGTCTCGATCAACATTGGAATTCTCGGCTTCATGACATTTTGGAGTGTTCGACTCGACTTCATCAGCATGGTGACGATCGTCATGTCCATCGGCTTCTGCGTTGATTTCGCCGCTCATTTAGCGTATAATTTTGCCAAGGTGATTTCCACACAGTTTTCGTGTCTCTAGTCTAACTAGCTTAAACTTTTTTTTATCGGCGTCATCGCTGAGAAATATGTAGGATGCCATGCTCAAAATCCCTGATATATGCGGTAGGCGTGGCTGCGTACTTGAGTTGAACGTGGCGGCAGCTAAGTTTTTCGTGAGATGATTTCGTTTCAAGGCAATTATAATCATGTCTTCGTCCGAAACAGAACAAGATGACAGTTGACTAACATTAAAATATTCCACGAGTAACTCATCCTATGCTGTGTTCGAATGCCACGCCTATTCCGTCTTAGGGATATATGAATACACGTCTTAGGAATAGGGAGTTACGGGAGGGAGAGTGTACTGTACTGCTAACGGACCATTACTGCTCAAGCATTCCAAATCTAGCCGGCCCACTAAGAGATCAGTTTCCTTGGTTGGAGGGCGCTTTCACTTGTACACCTCATTTACTCCTTCTCAAGTGCAGCTTCATATTCTCAGAACTGAATGTCTACTTCTACTAAGTCGGTGATTGTATCAGGTTGGCACATAAGGCCCTCTGCAGGCACGTGGGATGTTAATTTTGAATGAATTTTCCCTTCAGCGGATGCGAGAACTCAATTAACAAGTGGGCCAGGTCGTGGGTACCAGAACTATGGTCTCCATTCAAGTGATGTTTCTCGTTCTCTGTTGTCCAAGAATCCTGGCGATTACGACGTGAGAAAGAGTTTGATCTCATTCTCGAATTAAAGCCGTAAACCATGAGCAGGTGCTGCTGTCGTAGAAAAGGAAGACAGTCGGCTTTTTCGGTCACGTACATACATGAGACGATGGTACATGAGACGTGGGCCATATGTAGTCGTCACTGCTGTACCATTATCCAGCACCGCCCCGTCCCAGCCCTACCACCAACGCATTGACAACTTTTTTTCTATGCTTACCTTCTTTTGTCACCACAGACACCTTTTCTCCTCGAGGGATCCGATCGAGCTCATGTGCTTGGTTCACGTCGCTTTTTGCGCCTAATACATTACCACCCACTACGCTTGCCACGGAATTATTACACTTTGCAGGGTGAAGAGAAAACTGAGCCAACATCACTCGGGAATGGCGCTACTTATGAGATACCCAGCGCGAATATCTTCCCTCACAAACGAGACCATGGGTATGTAAAGGGATAAATGCAGTCTGAACTCAGTCAACTTACTGGTGGTTGCGTACGTTCGTTACCTCCATTGTACGGCTACGTTCATGAGGTTGAGCGAGATTTTTTGAGATGCTGTAGGACTTTATTTCCAGCCTAATAAGCTTCGAAAAGCCACATGATAACGCTATGACACCTTGACATTCAAACATCTATTGAGCCAAATGGAAATTATGGACCAAAAAACTGCTGTTGATATAGTTGCTGCCGAAAGAACAGGGTTTAACTTCACGAACTGTTTCAATAATATGCTTCATAATAATGAATTGTTATTCCCCCTGAGTGGCCGGAAAGGAACTTGGGGTTCTTCAAGAGCCTTCGGAGGGTCATGAGTAGGGAGGCCATCGAATATCGGCTCAAACCACACATAAAATGTGAGCGAGGTTGGTGGTAACAAAGCCACGCGAAAAAAGAAGAACGAACGGCTTGAACGTAGGGAAAGCGAAGCACAGTAAAAGTGGCATCATTGCTTAACAAAAGGTATCATGAAGACTAACGCTCTCAGTATATCTTTCTCTTATATCGAAGACTAACTCTGGCCTATCAATGAAATTAGGCCGATACTTGCCTAATCTTTTGACCTTCAACAGAAGGTCGCCGAGCCAAAGCGTGTCGGTACCATTTTCTCGAATACAATAACCAAGGAGAATTGCTCGATCGAGCTCCGACTTCGGACAAGGTGATGGTCCACGCTCACATGCCCACCTACAGCTTACCTCTGAGCACGGCTTCTTTCATGGGTCAGTAACGTACCATTTGTACAGATGAAAGAAGATCATCACTACGGAAGGATCATCACTATCAAACCGCATTAGAACGATGGATTAAGAAGTGATTTCTCGAGAATATTTTCTGGAAGCCCATACTGTTGCATGATAGTGCCACAAAGCAAGAGCTGCTGATGAGTATTTTGCTAGAAAAGTGGGCTTCGCGAGGGGTATGTGACAAAAGAAGTCGTAATTCGCCGCGTCAGTGGGCGTCGCGTGCGACGTCGCGCCCGCTAATGACGACGATTTCGGTGATATTGGTCGAGAATAGACAATGTATGACCAAAAATAGACATAAGTGTCCACCATGTCCTTGTCTACATGAAATCCGATGCTTCAATCGAAAGGGTAGTGCAAATTAAGAGGACGTCGCGCCCGTTGTCGCGCGCGGCGAAGCGGCAACCTAGATTCTCTTGCCCGTCTATCTTCTAATGCCACCCATTCTGCACGACGTTACCCCATTACATTGCGACATATCATTTAAGATATTCATAATGGTTTTGCACTTCTAAAGAGTTCGTTCATTATGTTATAGAGCATAGAGACGATATCGTCGCATCCAGTGGGGGCGGTACGAGGAGAGGCGGAATGAGCCCGCCTCCAGCTGCCATCCTACCTATATCATCGGTTATTAAACAATTTATAAAGAAAACAATCTGTAGCCAAGCAGCCAACAACCCTGCAGTGGTGCTCAATCCATTCGTTCTTGGCAACGTCCCGACTGATTACTATAAGCTGACTGCTTGAACTCGGAAACGCTCAGTAGTCTAAGATGGTGTGCAACGCGGCCAATTTTGTGGTATTCCTCGACTTTCGGAGTCGGAATTGAATTCTCTTTGGCTAGAGGGC